CGAAGCAGGTTCTTCATTGTTTTCAAATTTCTTCTAACAAAATCAAAGAGAATAGTATCCTGGATATGCCAATCACTTTTTTTTCTACTAACCTATCATTGTAACTATACAATATTAGTCGCTCAATAATTTCATTATCAGAACACTTACTCATACAACCTAGTTGATGCTCGTTATAAGGAATATCAAGGTTTATGATGAACTATTCATTAAGATGTTTGTTTATCAGCTCATCATCGAAAATTTGAGTTGAGCGCTCTATTACGTGATATTGCTAAGATGAGACACAGATTTGCTATTATAGTTGCCATGTGTGCTGGATGGGACGTACTAGTAGAGTTAGCCTGCTGTGGAACGTGGATATTGTAGTAATCGTCGACATTCAATACGAAAGCATTGCCTGGATATTTTAAAATAGAATTTTTCACGTATTTCTCATAGGCGTCAGAGACTTTTTTCTTTCTTTGATCCACTGCTCTTGATATTGTAATTACACCAAGATTTGCTAATATATCTAAGCCTTCATTACTTGTATCTACAGAATCCAAATAAAACGCTACATTGAACTTAAACAAATTAATTTTTGTATTATTTAACGATGTAAGAAGATAACAAATGTGAACGATTAATTTCTTCATACGATCCATGATTTTCTCACCGCGTTCAAGGGGCTTAGCTGTCAAATAAAGTTGGTTGAGAAAATTGTTAAGATTCTTATCTGCTTGAAATAATTTTCTTAGTTCGTCATACGAATATATGGGACCTTCTTTTTTTACATATTTTCTCTTATAGAAGGTTCTCGTCATAGTTTCAATAGCCCCAATAAGATCAATCGTATCTACATCCTTCACATCATCCATTACAATTTCTATATCTTGATTTGTAACTTTTTCTCTAACTATAGCTTCTATTTCATTCCTAATTATATCTTCTGCTTCTTCAACAGAGACTTTTACTTGTTTGGTATTTTTTTTAAGTCTTTGTAACGGATTTTTTATTAAATTCATATAACACAAGTGATATAAAATATCGCCTTCTTCCCACGTTACCTTTGTTAAGCCATTTCTTTCAGCCTGCCTCCATTTTCGTTCTTTAATGGACGAAATCTACTAGATTCAGTGGCTCCGCATTCCTTATATTTAGTAATTTCAGTAGTAATTTCAGACATGACTTTGAATATGAAGGCTGTTGGATTAAGTTGGATTAAGCGAATATGTTATATGGCTAAGCGAAAGCTACAAGTTCACTTATTGTACTTGTCCCCCTTTACTTGTAGGATAAGCCACCCGAGCTTCTAAAAAAAGTATTGTAAAATGTATAAAAAAAATCTTTAATTAATTGTGTAACGATCTACAAGATCGGGACACTCGGAACGTTCCTACCTCGAAGTCTAGACACTTTTGCAGTAACGTGATGTGGCGCATTCCGAAAGCAAGGTGCGTTAGAATTACTTTTTTAATGCAGTTAGGGTTACTTTTTTGATGCAGTAATTGTTAGGGGTTTATATAAAAATCAAGAATATAATTTATGCAGCATGTAGACATTTCCAAGTTTAGGGGTCCCTTAAAGCGGGCAGATCACGTGTTATGCCATTTTTTCATTGGGTTAGAGGTGTTTATCCGGGTTTATCAAATTTTGACGATTAGATACCATTTTTTAGCTATAATAACTGTATTAAAATAATTTCAAAGTTTACAAAAACAAAATACTTCAAACATTCCTGAATTTAGTGTAAATTTGATAAACATTGAAGCCATTATTTCCATTATTGTCTGAAGCGAAGCAGAGAATTTCAACGCATGGTGATACAAAGTTACGTTTTGACCATTATTTAGTGTTAGCAGTATTTCCAAAGACATTGAAATTTTCCGAAAATAATCGTTGGTTGACCTGCATAAATTTGGGACGGGTGTGTGTAACAATTCACAGGCATGGTTTATTCGGATTGGATAGATACGCCCAATGCCAAGTATATAAGCCCTCTCGTTACGTTCTAGAAAGTTTTGAATCGTGTGCTTGCTCTGTTTATTGTCGAGTAAGATATATCGACTTGAGAGTTTAGTATTGCACTAGGAGCCTAGGATTTCCTGGGTTTAAGATTGCCAAAATGGGAGCAACGGATAGTAAATTGGCCTTTCGTAAGGGCGTATTTAGGTTATTTGAAGAGCGAGTAAGCATTTACCGTATGTACTAATGCCAATAGAGCATTATATCCTAATAAAAGATTTTTTATTTTTAGAATATTGATGCTTCTGATGAATATTGGTCACAGGTAAAATGTCAAATTAAAAGTATTAATTAAAAAAACTGACATAATGTCTTATATAATCATATTTTAGTTTTGGGATCTCCCAGAGTCTGCTGACGATGTATTTTCACTTGTGGGTGCGCAAGACATTCGACGCGCAAGAGATCAAGCGAGGGAAAATATTGAGACACTAATACATAAGGTCTATAATAAAACAATTGATCGGTCTTATATTTTAGACTAAATGACTTGATATTACTATTTGTAGATTACCGATCAGATTTGTCATATTATGAGGGCACCTGATTTTCCCTCCCCTCAAAATTCTACATTACAACTTCTCAATTGTATTAGGCTCCTTACACGTGTTATGCCATTTATTTTTGAATCAGAAGAATTAGAAGATTGGGAGAATGAGTTCTTTTGGACACCAACAAAGAACATCAAGAAAAACATAAAACCAGAGAACACCGGTGATATCCAAAGTGCTTCAAAAGAGGTGGGTGATAGAATTATTACTGAAAATTCAGAAAGGGATGCAATTCAGGTGGACCAGAACATTTATAATATATATATATATATATATATATATATATATATTTGCTAACATTGTTATTTGTCATGCAATATATAGGAATCCTCTACCCAAAATCGGACTAGTTCCGAATCTTATGAAACAATACCGCCCCTTGGGGAACGCCTTTTGTCCGCGTTAATCGACCTATTATTTTTGACAGGTTTCACATTACCAATAAATCTCGCGAGTGAAACTTCTCGCGTCGTTTATGTTAATTGGTAGGCGAGTCTATTAAAAGCTTCATTTACAAGAAACGCTAAATTTCATCATAATGTTTTATAAAGGGAAACAGGTGTCGGATCTACTATACCAATTGGATCGTCAAAAGAAAATGATACTAATAAAACGGAAACATTAAGACTCCTTCTTGCACTTGTTTCAAAGTCAATGTACATGCCAGGAGGTATATAATAAAAGTTGTGTATAAATCATAAAATGTTTATACTGATTTTTCATATACTTTTGACTGTTAGCAACCTTTATTTCAAAAGAAAATAAATGGATCAAATTCTTGGTTCTTAAATTGGAACGAAAGGTTGTTCTTGCATTACTCTGCAGCTTGCTTAACACCACTGTGAAATACAATCCTGCTGGCTGGGGAGTACCTTACAACCACATGGTTTTTGCAGATCCACGGGAAATTCTCGTGACTCTCTGTTTACAGGTTTTATTAGTCTTATTAGACTATCGTTCCCCGTCAAATAGGGTAGATACTATCTTTGCTGGCACTAATGATCCAGGAGAACATAATAGATTGTCATCCGCTGGCACTAATGATCCAGGAGAACATAATAGATTGTCATCCGCTGGCACTAATGATCCAGAAGAACATAATAGATTGTCATCCGCTGGCACAATAGAAAACAATGAAGAACCTGCTTCGGCTACTTCACCGAAAAATTCATTAGGAGAACCTTATACAACTCAAGGGGTGCATAATGATGCTACAAATCTGAATACAAATCCTCAAAAATCACATTTGCCTCCAAATGTAGACAATGCATTTAGACATTATGCTTCAAAATTACATCGGTCTCAAGATTTTCAGTTTCTTATGGATGGGATATATCGTATTCTAAGTAATCCGATGCAGGTACCACGAAATTAATATTATTAAATAATTTTGAAAAATCATCAAACTAATATTTCGATGATTTATAATAATATAAGGCGAATAACACATACTTACCGGGATCTACCAAGCAAATCCGATGCCACCAGGAAATGTTAATGCTTTTATGGAAATTTTTGGAGATTAATAAAGTGGGCTCTATATAATGTGAATTGTGTAGTCTGATTAATTAAATGCAAAAATTTTAATACACATATGTTTACAGAGATTTCGAAATTACTTACTGGAAACTGATAGAGTTCTGGACGTTTTAATTGTTTTGCTGTATTATTCCATGGAAAATAAACATGATCAAGGTTTGCATGATCAATAATATATTTTAGTTCATCTATTGCAATTTGACTTAACCATTTATTATACAAAATTCATTATATTTTAAGCGCAACTTGGATTTGTGCGTATGTGTGCTTTTATTCTGCAAACGCTATCGGCAGATCGTAACTTTGGCATGAAGCTGAACAAGCAATTTGAAGGCCATGGATCACTTCCTTCGACCGTTCGAATTTCTGCATTTAATGCTGGCACTTATGCTGACTATATGATCATTGTAAGCAAACTTGCCTGTATTTATTCTTTCTATGGATCAATTAAAATTAATTTATTAATTTCATCATAAATAAAGTCAATATATGCACTTATAGCAACAACGCGCGGAACATTACATCCGCTTTATCCTGCATTTGTGCTGACAATCACAAATGTGTCCCCATATTTGAAGAACTTGTCTGTTACTTCATCAGTAAAATTAGTTCAACTTTTTTCATCTTTCTCATCACCAGGGTTTTTGCTATCTGATGAAGGAAATCATCGATTGGTGGGATATATGTTAGAGGCTTTTAATAACATTATCCAATATCAATTTTCTGGTTGGTTTTATCTATACATCTATCTATGTATATGTCGCGACTGAAGTTACACCTGCCTAAAATTGCTACCGTATTTTCGCGTAATAACGCGCAGGGTGTAATTTCGAATTTCGGCCTAATTAATCTTAATTCAGGCCAAAATTCGAAATAACGCCCATGGGCGTTATTACGCGAAAATACGGTAACTAATGAATTAGTCAGTGCGGCTCCCAAAGTGCCAGTGACCTAAATCACTGTTACCAATTAAGTAATGCATATATTATTTACCATCACTTAATTATATAGTATTACCTGATTGGTGAAATGTCTGTAGTATTCATTACGTCACTGGCACTTTGGGAGGCCGTCCTGGCTAATTCTTAACTAATGCGTCCAATTTCAGAGACTAATTTTCAGTCATGTGCAACTTCAACCTGGTGCCAACTTCAGTCACGGCATATATATCAATTCTAAAAATAAACTATTATGAATTTCATAATATATTTTTTAGAATTGCATGATTTTATTTGGCGACACTCGTATATATTTGCGTTTGTAATATTTTTCTTTTTACTTTGTATTTATAGACAATCCGCATGTTGTTTATGCAATCGTTTGTAACCCAAAGAAGTTTGAAGAATTGTTCGACTTTACACTTTTGAAAGGTTTAGCTGAGATTAAAAGACAACAATCTGTTAAAGAAAAACGTAAAAAACAGGTGCACAATACTTCCATGAATAAATCTGAATCATCATTAGATAGAAAAAGTATGCATGATGAATCGGCTTCACAACCACAGACGGATACAGAAAGTATGTCCAGTAATAAAAAGGACGAGGAACATGAGTCAGAATCAGACGAAAAAACAGAATTGTTAAATGTACCTTCAGTAGATGAACATGAGGAGTCAACGCATTTATCTGAAAAAGCTCGTGGTAAATTGCCGGAGGGTGTCACAGCAGCAAGTAGGCAATGTAGTAGCATGGACAGCTCTCAAAACAATGAAACTAATAGTAATAATATTATAACACCTTTTGCTGTTGGAAAGTCAGGTTTTATCCCAACTGAAGACTGGGTTTGTATTTATTCTAAAAGTTAGTATTATTTATCATATACAATGTACCAAATTTTAATTCATGTGCTGTAGGTATCTTCTTGGCATCCACAATTGCCATTTGGAACAATTCGAGTCCTTCTTAGTGAATTAGTTCCTAAAGTTAAATCCATGTGTGCTTCACAATCGATCACTACTGATCAGGGTGTATTAGAATTTCTTCGAACTACTTCCTTAATCGGAATATTATCACCTCCGCAATCCCTTTTCATTCGTAAATTCCAATGGTCAGAGGCGAGCGTAGTTTGGTTTGCGAGTATGTTGTGGGCACAAGTATATTTAGCATCGTTAAGCCATCTAGGAATATTCAACGGAACTAATGTGAAGCTGTTTTTGGTTAAGCCATCTACGAAAGAAGGACAGAGACTTAAAAACGCGATTGGAAGTGCTGTTAGTGAGGGTGTTCAAGGTGTATTTGATCGCTTGGCATCAAATAATACTAATTCTAATGTGTCGAACAGTACAACTGTTAATACCAATACTACTGATAATAATGCGCCATGAATACGATAGATATAGTAAATTAGTAATATTCGTAAGGGTACAATGGTTTATTTTTGTAAACATGTATCAATAAATCACCTCTTAATAATCGATTAAGAGTATTTAAGGATAGATAGATTTCTTTCATCGACAGTGTACGTGAAGAGGTTGTTATATGTACGATATTAATTAGGGATATTACTGCACAATCTCCCAGCCGATGAAATACATCCTTGCGTGCCGGCTGAGGGAATACTTTAATAAAAGTCCTACAAACCTAAATATCTAATTTGTAGGATTTAAATAAGAATTACGAAGTGATACACCAATTTCAACATTTAATTTTTTAGAAAGAAATCTCTGAAGGAAAACGAATTTTACGTAGTGGCATCCGAAAATATATAATGGAAGTTTATTTTTATTGGCTATGTTTACTGAAAAAATACTGGTAAACTTTTAGATTGTTTTACAATAGAATTTTTGAGACAATGTTTTTTTTTTTATATTGTATCCCTTAGAATCAATTCTAACAATTTTAGTATGTAATACGATGTTATTAGATTGAATTTTTATCGTTTAATTGAACCAGTTAATAGAAAAGCAATATTTCTTTGGTGTTGTAAAAGATAATCAAGGTTATCAAAACCATAATGCGCAATAGAACAATAAAATTTACGATGAATAATTTTATATGCTTCCTGATTATTGTTACAGCAGAACGCGTTTCCTTACATGACCTGCAATTTTGATGGCCTTTCAGGTTGTGTGCTCCTCATTTTCTATATATGCTATTCTGTACATTTATGCGAAATTACGCGATAAATTTTTAAAAAAATGTGCCAAAATTATGCGAATTAGGCGAAAATCTGCAATTACTTATTGCTATTAATTTTTTGTAACTCTCCAACCAACTTATAGGAAGACATTCATATGGGCTGTGTTCTGAGGAAAAGGAACCAAATTGACAATTTTTTTTTAAGCCTAACTAATCCGAAATTAGCCAGAAACATTTTTTACTTAACAAATGCTGTTATCTTAAAATTTTGCAGTATAACGCTTTAAAGTTTGTATTTTCTTATAATTTATTATAGAATTTATAATATAAAAATCAGCATAGTCTTAGGTTAGTGTAGGGTTTCTAGGATTATACGATGCGATGCGATGCGCATAATTGACCATTTTTCGCATCTCGGATACTTCGCATAATCGAGAAAAAGAAAGAAACAGAAGGGACCGTACCCTATATAAATTACGTTATACATTTAGAAGATTGTTTTTTATATAGTTTAAAGTACTTTTTGCAAGGGACTTGTATAGCCCATTCGCACTACTAAACGTGCACAAGATTTCTAAACAAACTTAAAGCTTTCGTACTGTATATTCGAAATATTAGTTGAATCCATTTGAATCCAACAAGTGTAATTATGTTTAGCGCACAAAGTTATCTAGAGTATGGATCTGAAAGTTGATTTAGATTTAGATTATTAACCAGAGAAAAATGGTAAGAAGTTAAGAGTAAAGGATTTTCAAGAGTAAAATAGAAGAAAGATATAATAATATGCAATAAATATTGGTAATAAAATTATTATTTTAAACAGACTAATATATAAAAGTTATGATTAGAGAAAATAATTAAAAATATTAAAGATGTGGATATGTGCTATATGATGGGCGAGCTGATCAAATCATACAACCTTTCAATTAGGGTTGGGGCACAAAGGCATGGGCAGCCTTCGAGGGCATGCCCATAGGCAAAAGGCATGCCCTAATCACATTATACATACAGTCATGATGATTGGCTAAGCATAGCGAGTATTCATTCTGATTGGCTAATTTTTGTAGATGTTACAAAATTTTGATTGACTAATAGAAAATGAGTTTAAAGTAAAAAAGATTTTAAAAATTATCAGATAAAAAAATATATTTAAACTATAAACTTGAATTTACAATGAAATTTTTAATACATTGATCCTTACAACTATTGTCAAATGCATATCTGGCTAAATTCAATAAAAAAAAGTTTTAATTTATCAATTCTTTAAAATACATAGATAATCTTTATTGACCAAATCGCTTACTGACTAGCACATAATTTAATAGCATGATAAAAAAATGAATAACATAAATGGATTAAAAAGAGCCGTCAGCTATCAATAAGCATATAGAAAGTATGGACAGTATAAAAAACCAAACACTACTGTAGTTATAGAACATAGCATGTAATCGTACATATTCTACGCATACTCAATATCTAATATATTGTAGATTTTAAAACTTGGTCGAATAATCTATATTAAGAAAAAATATTGAAAAAACTAACTGTAAATATTGTTAATTGAATCGCTATCTTCAAGTTTTTTTAAAAAAACTTGGCTCTTTTTAGTCAAGGTACAAACATCTTGCTGATTGCTGAATTACCTTAACCTAAAAAAAAAAATTACCCGTCGCTAACTTCTGGATTAATCCCCTGTTTTCTGAATTATTTCTACTGGGTCCATATCATTTCCCCGTCATGTTTTTCTTCGACAATTATTTCACTGAAATCGCGTAGTGTGACGATTAATATTTAAAGTCGATTCCTAATATTCATCAGACATTAAATATTAATCATCACCCTATGTGATGTCGGTCGAAGAAAAAAATGTCGAGAAAATGATATGGACCCATTTCTACTGCAGATAGAACAGAAGGTGTAGTTTAAGAATTTATAGCCGTATCCTTTGACAATTCGTTTTAATGGCAGACACTTCATTCAAGGTTAGCTGTTATGTATATGTAATAATCACATTTCAATGATTGACCAATTAGAATTAGAAAATTTATTAGTTTACACATAGTGTTTATACATAATTTATTGAATTTAAATTCGTGTAACATGCCATCAAAACAATTTTTACAAACGAAAAATTAAACCCTCTCTTATGATTAAGGTAAAGGTGGGTTTGGAATTAGGCAAGATATATCCTATACCAAAATTTTACAAGGAATTTTTTTTTGTTAGAAGCCAAAAGGTGGTTTCATAATCAAAATTTTGAGATATCTACATTTCCCGTGTATATACACGTGTACATACACCCCGTGTACAAATAGAAATTCTCTTAGAATTAATACCCAGCAAACATCGTTTATAAAATTTTGGCACATAATTTTAAACGATTTTTATTGGTTAATTGTTTGTCAAATGATTAAATGTGAGCATGCTAGGGTGTCCGGGATTTCAACCAATCGTATCTCGAATTTTAGCAAATCGGCCAATCAGACTGCAAAAAAAAGTTGTGGGATTCAAAAAAAATATCAATTCATCCGTTAAATTTATTCTCATTTCATAAAAAATTAAGCTACCCGAGCTTTTAAAAGAAGTATTGTAAAAATGTATAAAAAAAATTATTTATCAATCGTGTAACCATATCGGAATCATCTACGATAAGATGCACATACCAAATTTTCGCATCTTGGATGCTTCGCATAATCGGGCATCCGTGTCACGTGTGTAGATTTTGATTGGTAGATAAGTGATTTGACGAAGATAATGAACGAATTCCGAAAGATCAAATCATCCATCGCATAATCATGACGTTACTCTAGTGGTACTTATCGTTATTATAATAATTTTGTAATTAAAAAATTCTCCATATTCCATCTCACTATAATAAAAAAAAAACGTGTGTAATATCCAACCCTGATGAATATGGACATAGATGAACCTTATCTTCCAGGATATCTCAAAGGTACACCTATAGAAAACCATAATTCAACCGATCCATTATATCTACCAACGCGCTTCGAAGAGTATTCACCGTATTCACCGAGGTTTGTCAAGTGTATGGATAATAAATTAATACTTGAATATATAGGTAATTATAAATGTTTTTTCAGTTCTTATTTTGGTTTTTATACACGTCTTTTAATTGACGTTCGTATTCGTGTTTAACGAAGGACCCGGAGTTGATGACAGTCAAGCCGAATCAGTTCCAACTGATTATCCTGTTCCGCCTGAAGTTTTGCTATACTATTTTGAAATCAATGTTATAGATAAAGGTGAAGATGGGTGTGTTTATATGAACTTTTATGCTAATTATTTATTTATCTACTTATTTATTTCATTATTATTCTAATTATATAACTTCCAATCAAATTAGATATATTGGTGTTGGATTTGCTAAAGATTTAGAAATACTTGATATTTTACCAGGTTTATTAAGTTTGCGAATTTAATATTATTTCCTTCACGAAAATTCATGTTATTTTACTTTATTTTATTTATTTATTTATTTTTTTTGTTCTTATCACAGGATGGTGTCCGGGAACGATGGGATATCATGGCGATGATGGATGTAAATTTTATGAAAACGGTTTTGGCACAAGGTACGGGCCTTTATATAGCACGGGAGACACCATTGGTTGTTGTGTAAACTTTGTAGATCAAAATGTTTTCTATACGAAAAATGGCGTCAATTTAGGTAAGCGTACTTTCCTAGACTAATATGCTTATGATATTATCATTTAAGAAGTGCTAAAATGTAACCCTAAATTTTTAAAATAATCCAGGGATCGCTTTTGAATGTGCTTTAAATGAAGCATTATATCCTATTGTTGGATTGAGGACTCGAGGTGAATGCGTGGAAGCGAATTTTGGAACGAAACCGTTCAAATTTGATATTGACTCTTATGCTAAAGTGGGTATAACCGGAGACGTTTATTCACTTTAATTTAATAATAATATCTTGTGACTTAATTTTTTTTTTTTCCTAGGCGTTTTTCTCTGACCCTCGAATTGTTGCTCAAGTAGAGGACTCTAACGAGATTCAGAGGCGAAATATGGATGTATTTAATGAGAATCTGTACACATTTTATGATTTTGTGTGATCCTCACCAATATGATTGCACGAAACCCGATCGCTCTTACATATTGTTATCTACAAAATTTTTTTAAAAAAAATCCTATTCAATAAATATCGCGGATGATTGTGAAATTCGGATGGTTGTGAAATCTGAAGACCCCATTGGTTAATTACCCTAACCCTAACTAATCAGATGGTTTAACATATTAATTTCACGATCATCCGAATTTTAGCGTCATCCGTGACAATAAATAATTCTTTATTTACATATAAATTGTTAAACGTATTAAAAATTTTTAAAAATTATACCCGGAATTTTTCTAATAAAATTTGTCTTTAAAAATTGACCCGGCCGGGTTATGAGAAACAATTAGCAAATTTACGTGATCTTACTTTTATAAAACCAAAAATTTTAGAATTTTATGATTTATCGTTCAAGTTTGGTGCAACTAGAGATCAGGTGTAACGTAACACGGGTAAAAACGTTCGTTTTGTCAAAATTTCTCAAAAACTTTTGTATTTTAAATAATAAATAGCTTTTATTCTTAAGGTTTAAAAAATGATAATCTGAGATAAACTATATAACAGATTAAGACTTTTATTAACAATGCATTTATGCATACATTATCTCAAAAATTGGATAATTAATCTATATGAAATGTTCAAAGTAAAAATGTTCTACGCCTTCAAAAACCCTTCCCAAACACTAATCCTAACTTTAAATATTAACCTTAATGTAAAAACTGGTGTTGAAAATTTTGTATACAAAACTTATAAAAATTTTAAAAAACATAAAAACATAATAGATGCAAAACCACCATAGGTGTGTGTTTTATAAATAATTTAAAAGCATTAATATATCATAATTATTAGATAATGAAAATATAATATATATAATATTTAGAATTATACTAAGTTAACTTGATTAAAAATATAAAAAGATATATTGGGATTTGATTTCTGGGACAATATGTTGATTTTTTTTTTTTATATTTGGTAGTCCTGTTTTTATTATTTTATTGGAAATACTAAAAAATTATTATTAACAGGCATACAAAATTTTTGTATTATATTTCTATTCAATGAAGACTCACTCAACTTTATAATCCAGGTGTAATACTATCAGTAGCAATTTGCTTCATGTTGGATTCTCAACTTTCTGAGAATTTGAATCCTTCAATTATTAGTTAGAGCAGTTGTATTGCTTTATCAAGAAGCCAAATCCAAAAAAGCATAAATAAAAGAAAAAAATAAAATATAAAGGTATAGAGAATAATGATAAAGTATACAAGCAAGAAAAAAAAAGGAGTAGTACTCCACAAAATCAAATTAAAATTTGAATTTGTATCAAATATTTGATCAAATTTTTAAAAAATTTGATCAAATATTTGATACAAATTCAAATTTTGATTTGATTTTGCAAAATACTAAAAAGGAGTAAAGGAATATTGAAAATAAAAGAAAAAGAAATCTGTCTATTCTAATATCATATTTATAAACCTATAAAAGTTTTGTAAAAATTATATACTATTAAATAAACTAGTTTTTACTTTAAACTTTATCTGAATAGTATATAGAAGTTAAAAACTAGTAAAAAAAATTTTATCAACCAAAAATATAGAAAGGTCAGTACTTGATCCAAGTCTCAGAGCATTATTTGATTAGATTGTTATATTTGAAGCATATATTTTGACATGTTTGTTATCTTGTTATACTAAATTGGAATATAAATAATATCAATTTTTTGAAAAAATAAACTAAAATATTCACTTTTACAAAAATTGTTTTGAAAAAAATAAGGTTAATGAGAGTATATAAGGCTCTTTTGGTAAATTTTACAGTAGTATAGTCTAGTTTTTTAATTTTTACTAAATATTCTTGACAATATGTTGATTCTGTAAATAAAATTAAATTTGTAGTAATATAATTTGAATAATATTTTATTTTATCATTTTAAAGTTTATTAAACTTACAAAATAATAATAAAATCAGATTATTAGATAGCTAACAATTTAATTTTTACTTATAAAATAAATTGATTCTATAAAAAATTTAAGTAATTAATTTTAAATTAAAATATAAAATTACAGAGAATTTTTTCTGATAATCTTTTGGTTAACAATAATTTTACTAAACTACAGTTAACAATATAGAAAACAATAAAATAAAGACTATAATATTCTTGGTCTTGTACAAGCAAACTTGTTGTCGATAAAGCCTATAATATATGAAATATCAAGAAATAAATATATAAAAATATTAAATAGGTTTGTGCCTTGTGTCAAGTTTTTCTTTCTTTGATAAACTTTCTCACATATTTGGTATTTAAACCAGAAAGTTTATTCTAGAAACAAGTAGAGATCTATTAGTCTCTAATCAAAAATATTTAATAAAGACAGAAAAGTGAACTATACAATTATAAAACTTATAAGAAGAATCTCACATACTCTTGTTGATCTCTACTTTACTTCAAAGAAATTTTGTTAAAAAGTAAATAATTTAGACTATGCAAATAAAATTTATTGTTTCTTATAACATATTAAAGCTAAAGAGCATCTGAGACCTGGCTATTATTGTATAAGTAGAAAAAAATATTATATAAAGTTTTTAAATTAAAAATTCACAGATCAACTTAAAACTAATCAGGTTCAAATCGGTATTATATGATAATCCGATTTGAAACAAAAATTTGGTACAAATAGTAATAGAATACCTTTACAAGATATGTTGGTAAACTGATAGTTCCAAAAAGAATTTCTAATATTTACTAGTTATACGAACTATGATTTGTATTTATTAGAGTAATTTAGAATTAACTTATTTCGAAAATAAGTGAGAATCCTATTTTATATTTAAAATTCTAAGTCAAAAAATTAAATAGGTATATCTGTTATTAAAATTACTGTAATGTGTCATATAAACGACTCGGATCTGCTATATTTCACCAATTTTAAAACCTCTAGTAGATCTGGAGGTCTGTTATATAGGCATAGGTCTGATAATTGGGGTTTTTATATAGGGTCTAGTAATATGATTTCAAGAAAAAACCTGTAATATGTATTTTAATAATTATAGAATTCAATTTTTGACAATGTTATTTTAACTTTAAATATCGATATATATAAGTATCATTAGATATTAAATTTCGTAAAAGCTATATAAAACATAACTTTTTCTTAGCTCACTCAAATAATTTTTTGTTTTTGAAATAAAAGGAGGCTTAAAAGCAGTACTAAAAATCCAGTGAGCTGCAGTGCATATAAATTTTTTTTTAAATATGTGCAATAGAACAAAGTACCAATCTAATTAAATCTGTCACACTTCAAAGCCTAAAATGTATATGAATTTAAAATTTTTAATATGTGCAAAAACCATATATTGTTAATTTTAATAGATATATCACCTCTTCACATATTAATTTTCAATATTTCTCAAAAATATAATATAGTTTGGGAAGTATTCAAATATATGAAAACATAGAATTTAACCAAATTTTATAATTTATAGCAAAGATTCTAATATTGAAAGTGAAAACTACTTTAATAGCAAGAAACTTTATAAAGAGACAAGAAGTTCAATTATGAAATATCAAAAAAAAAAATAGAACACAAAAATGAGTATGCTTTTTTTATTTGTGACAAAGATTTTTAGCACAAGTAATAAAACAATAATTCGTCAACGTTTGTAATATAAAAAGAGTGAAGTACTTGAACAACTATCTGAATCAAACAATATAATAAATTATCATAAAATGACTTAGTTTATGGAATAATAAAAGATTTAAAATCTCTTGCTATTACCAATCTCAATCTATATTATAATTTTTTATAAAGGTACTATGATAGTAATTTATTGAATTTGGCCAGAAACAATTATAAGGTTTATAATTAACTTATTAATATGATTGATATATGCAAATTTTATTTTATCATTCATATTTCAAAAAAAATTTTTGTGTTTTACATTTTTGCCGTGCCTTGAATAAAACAGGTTTCTTGCTAAAAGATAATAAGCAAAAAATTATTTATTAAATATATTGAAGTATAATAACTAAATAAATATTAAATTTTAGTAGAAAAAAAATGAAACATAATTAAACAAATCTAAAACAAGCAAATAGCACTAAAAAAAAAAAGAGCTTGTAATATTCGTAAGAAATTAACGATTGTCACATATCTGGAAAAAAATCTTATAGCTAATAAACAAAGCACTGCAGAACAATTTAACATAACTCCAAAACAAGTATAAGAGTAGATCAAAAAAAAAATAAATTGAAAAATGTTTCACTATACGTTAAATGGTTAAACATTAGTATATGCCCTAAGTATTCTCTTTTAGAAGTTAATCTTAAAGTATAGGTCAGGTCTTTATGTTCAAAACAAAAAATTGTATCTTGAAACATGATCAAAACTAAAGCAAAACAGCTTGCCAATAATGTTTTATTTCACTTTACCCAACAATTAGTACATGCAAGTAGAGTAACAAATAGGTAGAAGGTTTTATGTATCACAACAAATTTAGTATTTGGCATTATACTACAGTTGTACAAAGATTGCCAGAGGAATTAGAATCTCAAAAAAGTAAATTTTTAAGTTATATACTATATCACCAAATGCTTTACAATTATTCACTTTCACTAATAGAAAATATAGATAAAATACCACTAGCATTTGATATATCTAGTAATTTTATAGTTGAAGAAACTGGTGCTCAAACTGTCAGAATTCGCACTTGTAGATATAAAAAATCTAATTTCATAATCGTTTTAAGCTGTTTAGCTGATGGAACTAAATTGCTCTCTATGATAATTTTTAAATTAGTAAATATACTATAACAATCATTTCTATCAGATCTTGTTATATATGCCAATTCAGAAGGATATATAAATACCAAAGAAATAATTTTTTGGATAGAACGTATTTGGAATCATCAAGCATCTTTGTCTTCTAATCTCCGTTCATTATTAGTTTTAGATTCATTTCTGGGTCATATTTCAACTCCAGTTAAAAATCATTTTAATGAAAA